ATGTTTAAGCACATAGATAGGTAATAAAACGCCGCGGGTGGCTTTGAATTATTACGAACTGCGTCGTGCATTTTAGTCTAGATGTCGCTTGCTAGCACTGCAAGCTAGCTGAGCTAGCGCTAGTGAATAATGCTAGTGCACTGCGGCTCTTTTGAATTTAACTTCCCTCACGTCTCAGTGTTGGGCTGCGTGCTATATTTGGCTCCTGTCATGGGCTATGAGCTGTAACTAAATGCATACTACGCGACTCTCCTAACCACACAACAATAAAATAGATATTGAAGTCCAACTAGCTTGTTAGTGACCTTGGGTAGTCTGGTTATTTATCGACATATGCTAACGATGGATAGCTAGCTAGCATGTAGCAAGAAATGGCTGTATCATTTTGACAACCAGAATACAACCACCGCAGCTAGTTAGCACGTTGGAATTAAGCTAGTTACAGCCAGCTACATATTGATCCACTAATTCAGCGACATTACATGCAATTACAATTGGCATCTCGCTTCCTTAGAGTGTGGGACATAACGTAAATTACCGCATGGGTTTTAGATTAACAGCATGTCCTTGGCCACTCATTTGGTAATTGTCAAAACTGTCAAGCGGTTTATAACGTGTGTGTTTTTCCGTTTGTAAAAATAACACCATCCCAATGCTGTTTTTGTTGTAACTGTTAACGTTGCTAGACTGATGTAGCACACCTTGATTTTGTTTGTTTCTATAATGTGAGATGAATGTTACTCTTCGCTGGGAACAACGTAGGCTGAACACTCTGAGATGGTAACAAGGGGGTGTTATTGTGCTTCAGCTGGGTGAAGTTATCCATGTATTGTGCAAATAAATCCCTCTGTACTGCACAGTTAGTACATTATTTTAGTGACATGACAAAATTTCAGGGCACTTATATACAACAGCAGTGCTAGAGCTATGTTGCTGAATTTCACAACCCATGTATGAGCTGCTTGTTTTTCACCTGCCTATCTGTGATCTAAGACCACACCCAGTAAAAAACAAATATATCACTGATTAAATAAAATAAGCTAAATCCCGCTTAGGTTTTTACATTGTTTTTTATTTCACTATAACAATTCTGTTCCCTCCCTCCTTTACCCAGCTCCATTCATACTTTGTATCCATACATATTTTAAAGACCTTGAACAGATTTTTTTTTATTTGACAAATTGAATTGGCTAATCTATAAACTTGCAGTATAAGTACAAGTAACCATGCATGCAGGTGTCATTCTGCTTGTTATGCTGTCTCATAAGCGGCATAATGTGTCACAATCCTTACCTTTTTATTAGTATGGCATTTCGCAGTAATTTGGTGTGGTTTTATCAAATAAAATAAGCCCCAGACTAACAATTTCAAAACATTTTTTCCAAGAACTATTCTTTTCACACATCATATTGTCCAATTAGAAAAGTTGAGGTGTCATGGTATTATATAAACATTGACAATACTATGAATGTAGAGATGATTACTAGATAGTTAACATTTGATGACCAAAATTGGTGCCCATCGTAAGAGCATTAATGCTTTTTTCCCATTGTTGTGGCATTGTGAGCTTTTTCCGGTGATTTGTGAAGGAAGGGTAGAGTTGCTGAATCAACAGTGATGTTCAGGGTCGGAGGAAGTTCACAGATGAATCTTTTTAACGCCAACCAAGCCCCTCTGCCATACATTTCTGACAGCATTTTGTTCCATCATTTAGGCTCCCATTAAAAATACAGCAAGTGTTTTTGAACGAGGACTCAGCGATGCTCCTGGCTTGGTTTGAGGGCTTTTGGGGAGTCTTTTGGTATCACAGAGAATTGTCTGAAACTTTGCTACAGTCGTTGTAGCTGTTTGTTTTGAAAGCAGTTGGTCATAGCATTGCTGGAGCATGATGTGGTGTGAAGGGCAAAATCACCAGACATGTCATGAAACCCATTACAAGTTTAAGCATGTGGAATTACTTGTGAAATTGCTTGGGTTTTTTTCCTTTAAACCCACTCTGTTGCTGTCCAGTGGGAACTCAGTATTCTGCCCTTATGTCAGTGAGAGGTGAATTGCTGTGTGGTCTGAATGAGTCTGTTGAGGGCAGCTCCAGCTCAGCACAGTGGAGCTCTGTGTGTGAGATCTGCTGTGGAGGCATTCATATGTTCAGTATTCAGAAAGTTTCCCTCCTTGACTCCATGGACTGAAGCCTGCTGCCAAGCAACACCGCGCAGGAAACACCCACAGATGGTCTACCTAATATCTACAGCACAACCAGTCCAACAACTGTGCTCGCTCTGTTGATTTACATTGTTGTTGTTGGAGCTTTAGCATGCAGCTAATGTTGAATTGCAGAAACACACCAGGCAATTTATGAGCATCCACAGAGCTGGGCGACTGTAGCTTTCTCATTTCATAATGTGAAGTGGTATGGAGCATCCATTTCCCTGTTGTAGAACAAATGGAAATTTACTCTTGTACATCAGAGGACAGAGCGAAGATCATTACTATGCAGCATTGCTGTGGTGTTTGTGCACCAGAGTCAGGGTGATGAGGAAGCGGCAGTAAAAATAAGAAGTCATTGTGGCTGGTGGGGGTCATGCTGATAACACATTAAGTGGTCTGAGCAGAAAGTCGGGAGGAGGAGAGACAGGAGCATGGAGCCATCGATTTGTTCATAAATAAATCCGTTGCTCTTCCTCTGCATTTCCCCTTCTCATAATCCCCTGCTTCACTCATGCTGATGAGGGGTCCTGTTTCATCTGAATTAATGACTGCCAGTGTGGCATCAAATCACCTCATTATGGTGGGCTGATTTGAGTAGTTGCTTATCTCTGCAAAACCAGATTCCTCTAGAGAATGTGGAGGGTAAAGCCTCTTGCATTCCCCCGCCCATTATAGCATTATCTTTTTACAGTAATGTGCTGCAGAGTTCTGTAGACTGTAGAACATTTTGCAGTAAAGCAAGTCCTTGATGATGCAAAGTGAATATCCTGCTGTGCGTGTTACATCTCAAATAGACATGAAATGGGGGGAAAAATCCTCAGTAAGGGATGTTTTGTGTGTAGTGACATCAGATTTAGTTGTCCACACTTGTCCTGTTGCTAGTAGCTGCAAAAATCTAGTAAATAATTTAATACAGTGGATTAATTCTGTTTTCTGTTTGTGTGAAGGTCAGGAGAAAACAGACTTGCAAACATGACCTTCGTCTCTCCTCTGCTGCTAAAGAGAGGAAGCCATCTGTGAGCAGAAACTGCTTTATAAACACATTCCTTTTGGTTGGGGTAGCAAGCCCATTACTCATTCTCTGTTACACTCAGGGAATAGGCATAAAACATAAATGCTTAATTTGTATAAGTAGAGCTGTGTTTCAGATTCAGATAACAAATAGCTGAGGATGAAGTCATCCTTCATTGCTGTCACGCCTGGAATACATTTACCAGAAAACAATGAGACAGAAATCAACTCTGTCAAGTGTGTTTTCAATCACAGCTTTGAATAAACTATTGCATTTGCTCACTGAAGGGTATGTCATGATATAAACCTCAAATTGAAGGCTTTTTAAAGGGGCTCTAAGCAGAATCCGGTTGTCTGGACACAGCTTTCAGCATGAAGATGGCTGAGTCAGTGGCTAGAGGCTAATGATGCTAACTCCATAAACAACGGCAACAGAGCTGACAGAGATAATGGTGTTTACCGAGGGGAAGGTGGGGAAGGGTGGCTGTTGCGCTCCGCAGCAGCGCTGTCCCAGTACTAGAGGTAATCGCTGTGCAAGCACAGTGCAAAGTGGGAGCGATTAGCTAGCCATTGGGATACAAATATGCACTGTACACACATGCAAGTGCAGCTGGACCAACTAACCACAACAAGCAGAAAATCTCAGATTACTACACACACATAGCGTGACTTCATCCTTTGTTCAGGACGCCATTACTCCATTATATTTTCACATGCCTAATAGTGGTTTGCTACTTTACTAATGCTCTGAATGTCTTATACAGAACCTTCGAATTGAAATAACTAAATATAAATATGTGACAGCTAATCCCTTTGATGCCCGTTATCCCCTCATTACAATAGGCATCAAAGGGACTAGCAGTCACATATTTCATATTTTTTCCTCTGGTGCATAGCGGTTAGCATCTCTGCTGCTCTTGATAATCATGTTTCTCTCATATTTTTTTCACACAGTGTATATTATTCATCAATATTTCTTTGTATACAGTAAACAGTTTGTTGTTTATGTAATGTGTTTTGCTTTCATTTTAAATGCTATCATTAATGCTTATGTTGTGACAATTTTGGCCAAGACATGGCATGATAGAACGCACATATATACTTCACTGATGTACTAGCCAACAAAAAAATATTTTTCCTCACCTGTACACAGTTTGTGCTTAATCAACCCAGCCCTGCTTAAGTTTGGCCCTTGATGGATACGGTATCTTGAGCTGTGGGTAATATAACCGCTCCAGATTTTTGTGATTGACTATTATTCATTGTGAATGACTATCATTCAGAACAAATGACAGGCAGTAGTTACGCCTCCTGGCGCAATGCTTACTCATTGTTTTGTAAATACAGAGCTGCAAATAAACTCAGTCAGTGTCTTGAGCTTAAAAAAGCTGATCTTGATGGTATAAACTGGTGTTCAGTGATGGTTTGTTTTACAAAGTCTTTTTGTGATTGCTACCAATCAGGGCTGCACCTAATGATTATTTTTGTAGGCTTATAATGATTATTTTTTCAATCAATTAATCTTTTGTTCAGCAATAAAATGTCAGAAATGTGTGAAAATATACATGTATGATTTTCAAGATATCTTCACATTGCTTGTTTTGTCCAATTAATACTCAAAGTACCCAAAGATATTGTTTATTTTGCTTGAAAATTAACTAAACTGATTGATCGCTCATCAAAATAGTTCAACTTAATCCTTTCAGCTCTGCTATCAATAAACTGAGAGAATTATATATGTTTTAAAATAAGCTTTTAAATGTGTGTCACTCAGGGTGGGAATCACTTTGACCAGTATGAAGAGGGCCAGTTGGAGCTGGAGCAGGCCTCCCTGGACAAGCCCATCGAATCGGTAAGGCTGCATCCATCATCCCGCACCATTGGACCAGCTGTGAGAATGGATGATTGGTCCAGGGAGGAATAAGAACCACACCTTTTTACTCCATTCATTCTGTCCATGTAGATGCATCCAGTGTTTTCTTGAACACACTTGCCACCTAACCTGTAGAATCACTTGTCTCATGTCCATTAATACCCTTTAAGTCCCTGCCACTTCCCATGTCCTCTGCCTACTCCATTTCCTGTGACATTTAAAATGATTATGTATATGATAGATCTTCCTGTATTTATGTACAGCTTACAGATAAACATTTGATATTTTCGTATCAGTCTCCCATTAGTCATTGTTAGTCATCTTAGCACAATGAGACGAGATGACACTGAAAGCATGGAGTGGCTAAAGCACTGTCAATAATGGCTGTTTTTAAAATGTTATAGCTGTTCATCCATTATAAAGATTTTATTCAGGATATAGCTGCTTTGAGGGAGGTTGCTGTACAGAGTCCTGTAGTTTTTTACATTTGTAAGGGTGATTACCTATTCAACCACTCTGATTCACTGATTTGAAATGTATTCAGAGGGGTGTTTATAAATAAAACCCTCTTGAACAAGAACAAACACATGTTGCAGGGCAGATTTGGATTTTAAAACAGTCTGATTTAGGTTTATATTTATGTATTGAATTATTTTGCTGTGGCTCAAGTCTTTCTGTTAACATAAAGTAGGCAGTGCTTATTCCACTCCATTTAGTAAACAAGAAAGCGCACATAAGATGGTGTGAATGGCTACATTTGTTTTTGAGTGAGTGTGTGTCTATGTAGCTTTAGAATTTATGTGTTAGTGTTTGTGTCTATAGGACAGTTATCTTATTGTACACAACTTGGGGTGTTCGACATTTCTCTCCTGCAGCGAATTGGCCCCTATTAGCTAAGCAGCAATGACCTGGTTTGTATTTGCACGCTCTGCTTTCTTACTCCTATCTTTAGGGTCCTTGTAACGCTTCTCTGACTGTCTTTTTCTCTCTCTGTTTCACTCCTGTCACACTCTACATCTATTCTCTCTCTCTACCTCTATTTCTCTCTCGCTCCCTCCCTACTACACAGTGATTCGGTGTACAGTACCCTCTGTCATTCTGTGCTGGCATGGTGCTTGTGCAACTGGGACTGCATTTTTCGCTGAAGAGGCACAAAGATAATAGCGCAGGCAGCTCTCTTCTTTCTGTCTTTCCCACTCTCTCCATCCCCCTCTTCTGTCTCTGAAGCACTGTGGTGAGCAGGCCCAAACTCCTCTTACCTACAGTGTCAGGTCACCTCTCCTCAACATTATAGCTGTGCTTTGTTAGCCAATCAGCAAGACTCAGCAACCAGGTATAGATCAAAATAATGTAGTTGATGTTTTTTGGAAACAGATGCTTTGAACATTGATGTATAACTAAATTTGTGACAGTTTCCTTTATCACTCATCATGATAATGTAATCAATAATTAATTACAATTCAAAAGCTCATAGAATAAAAAGTGTGAATTTGCATCAGCTGGGACCTCTGTGCCAAATTTTACCCTCCTAGGGCAAAAACTGTGGCTGCCAATGGGTGGGGTAATTTTTGTGGAACCAACCAACAGAGCGAGCTTTAGGGCTGTTGGTCATAGCTAAAACATAGCATATTTCCCCTCAATGAGAGCCATTGTAAAACAATTGACATTACTCTTTTGCAACATAAGTTAATTAAATATTGGAATCATGAATAAATGCAAGTAAATTCTTAATATCAAAACGATATAACAGCTGAAAGAATAGTTTGCTAAGAAAAACTAAGAACTTATCAATATATCAAGTACATAGATTTGGTGAGACTAAACATTCAAAGCACTGAAAAAAAACGTAGAGCCATTTTTAGGTCAATAAAAAGAGCAGTAGGCTACACATGAATGTTACCAGGCCTGTGTTTGTTGACCTTTTAAACAGCAGTAGGAGAAAATGTAGTCAGTCTTGCTGACCATGGCAAAATAAATGTTTTACTTTAAGGGAAAAAGCACCTTTTACATAAGTTTGTCTTAATTCTCACATCATATGATCATATTTGTAGCCTGAACATGTGTTTTCCATAGCTAGAATCTAGTGAGCCAAAAACGATAGTTTTATATCCTAGTTGAGTTTTATGTATGATGTACTTTCTCACAGGCACACAAGTATCCCGCTGTGTGTGGGTAGTGAAGGGGGAGAAAAGAGAGGGAGAGAGGTGGCCTGCTCACCTGGCTGGCTTGAATGGCTCTTTTGCTCCTGCGCTATTATTTGTGGAGGGGTGCTGAGGGCCGAGCTGCAGCATCACACAGCTCCTCGCACATCAGTGGAAACAAGGCCACATCAGAGGTGCCATCAATTGTGACTTTGTCACCAGTAGTAATACTTACATATTCTCTTTGGAAAGTGCATGCCCAAAGAAGAGGGTGGCAGATCTCATTGTTAAGTAACCATGAAAGTCTGCCACCAATTAAAAAATGTAATCCTGAAGAAAATTTGGGAGGATTTGGTGATACCTGTTGTTACATTAGGTGAATTTAATAATATAAATGACACAGTTCCTATTTGAAATGTACCAACATACCAGCCAAATGCCTGACGGCAGACGAGGTGAAATTTATCTTCACCTGCTTAGCCTCAAAATAGATGTGATATACAGTGCACGTAAATGTATTAAAAAGAAACGTAAATACACATAGACTGATATACAGTATGTCACCATGTTGTTAGGTAGATAGGCTGCCTCCGCAGTGCAAACTTCTGGCAGTTGTCCACAAGTGTTACATCTGGGATCTGTTAGTGAATGCTTCAGCCCAGCCTCTTGGAGCCCCTCCCCTGCCACTTATTGTGTGTGATCTTTAGGCAGCTAGAGGTCTGTGGTACTTTATTGGGATCTTTTTTCTCTTTCTGTCTTTCCCCTTTGGTCTTTTGCTCTTTCTCTCTAACATTGTTTTTGCATTGCATGTGTTAACTTGGTAGCATTCAGTACTATTTTATCTCAACACTGTCCTAATCACTACTACAGTTTTTCTCCCAAACTCATTCCTCCCACGTTCTCTGCCCCTTCCAGTCCCTCCCTCCCTCCTCCCCTTCCTGACCCTGTCCAAGAGCGATATGCAGCGGGCAGCCTCAGAGCCACAGAAACCACACATACATGCCAGAAATTTAAGAAACACATGTATACAGGCCACAAGAAGATTTGTCTTGGTAAAAGGTTTAATGTGTAATTTTCTATATCCAAGATGTAGTCACTAGTAGTTATTTGCTATACAGTGTCTGAGGTCCATCAGGACTTTGATTGCTTTAAGTTGAACAAAACAGAAAGCAGACATTTTAGGGATTCGTGTTACTGAATTATGAAGTGTGTAGCCTTTTGAATTATAGCCAGACATTATTGACACAGCCTTTCGTCACTGTTGACTGTTTAGCTGTTTGGTGGAAAGAAGAACACAAGGAAAAGGTGAAAATCCTCACACACATTTTTTACAACATTGCAAGCTCTCCATTTAGCACCAGTCTTAATCCAGTGAGCAGCGGGGGTGATGGGTTCAAGGTCATTGCTGAGGCCCTCCAAATGTTCTTTTTAAAGTCAGCAATGGAGTATGAGTGGAGAAAAACAATAACCAAACCAGGAAATAACCAAAACGGTTTACTTCAAACTCAATGGGAATGTGAGTGTTACAGTCTCTATGTAGAGATGTCAGAGACCTTTTTAAACTTTGGCCTTCAGTTTTTTTAACTACACGTTGATGAGTTGGGCCCTCAGAATTATGGTAGGTAAGTATGTGTTTTTAAATTATTAAACATTGGTATTAATTGGACTCTGCTTCGCTGTCATTTTCCTCATCATTTAGTCAATGAAATCTTTAATCCCCTCACATTAAATCTGACACATCCACACTTCACCTCCATTCACTGGGAAATAGGAGCCTTCTGTTATAGTTGTTTGGCTCTTGATGCACTGAGACATTTGTTTCCATTTAGTCACACCTGCGGCAGCTGAGACTAGCCAGGAATGTATAGAGCACCAAACACAAGGGAGCTGAGCAAGTTTATGAGAAGCAGCAGACAGCAGGCCCTGTCCTCCACCAGCACTTGCCAGAAGTCATTCCTTAGGGACATGAAAAAAGGATGAGTAACTGCAGCAGCCCATTTTTTTTTTGCAAGACAGATCTCTAAAGGGTCTGTCTCAGTTTTCTTTTCAGAACATGCAAAATCTCAGAGCTGTTGTTAAGAGCAGTCATCCAAAGAATTGTACTTAAACCGTGTGGTTTGGGTTAATTTAGGTCTACTCACTCATGTTGATCAATATGCATGCAATCTCAACCAGAGCAATTTCTTTTACCTAGACAGGGACACACAAACACACCCATACTTTACACAAATGGCTTAATAGCAATAAGATTCCTAAACACTCTGAGGTCTCTCGGTGGGGTCCCCTGCATATCACTTCCCGTACCCACATCTTTTGCCATGCACTGTACCGATGACGGCACAATGCACACTTAAAAAACACCCCCTCTTGTAGATCTCTTTTGTTTGGATAACATTTTCTATTTTTCTTTCTCCTATATTAACAGTCAGTTGGTGGATTTATTGACATGCCTACCTTTTCTGTTTGTATACAGTATTATGTTTGTTTAAAAGCAGAGAGAGATTTTTGCATTTTAAAGAACTTAGAGAAGCTAGCAGAATTGCAGTTGAAAGCGTTTGGCCGGTTTCTTACGTTGTGTCACGTGTGACTGTTTTTTTGACAGCCCAGTATTTTAAAGCCAGGTTCGTATGGAAATGCCTTCACTCCACTTGCACTGCTGTTGGACTCGCCGTCGTTGCTTTCATCCGTCTGTCTGTCTATTCTTTTGGTGCACTCATCTGCTGTTCAACACGCAGTCTGCACCTCATCTCCGCCTTCTAACCTTTGCTGAGCCCATTTTGACCTAATCTCTTTATTAGTGTCAGCAGTTGTGACTGGTGCCTCACCCAACTTGCCCTTCTTGTTTTTAATATTTTTTTAATCTTACTGAGATAAAAAGTGGAAGCTTTGTGAGAGAAAACACGTTTAATTTAAGGTAAGGCTTATGTTCCCTAAGCTTTCAGACTGTTTCATCGTACAGCCCTTGGTCAGACCTCTGCCTTTAGTGATGAAAAATAAATAAGCTTGCGTAGAGGATAAGGTATAGTATTTCTCAGGCAGCTAGTTTAGGGTGCATTTTATTTTCCTCCTCGCCCCAAGCTTCATAGATCAGCTAATCCCCCAAATCAATATAAACGATCATGTGCAGAGTGTTGCACCATAATACTGCAGTAAAGGACAGAAGCATACCCAATGTCGATGGGAGGGGAGGCGTTCACTGCAGCAAATTCTGCAGTGTTTTCCTACACAATGAAGTCGGGACAAGATGTCCACCAGGGATGAGACGACACACTCTATCAGCCATACAGCCTCTTATTCTGTGCATCTTGTGACATGTCCAGGAGCTGCCAGGCAGGGGCATCTTATATACAGTGATAGCATGTTAATGCAGCCTTTAATGTTCCTGTTATAGGCTGATAAAGGCAGGCTGTCCCCAGTTCAGGCCCAGCACAGATTCCTTTCTTATCTCTTTCCACAGCGGAAGGGATCTGACTGTCACACAGAGTAAGCACAGCAAATACATCCATGAAATGAACGGAGGGAAAAAAATACCAAACCCCAACAAAAACAGGAAGTGAAACAGTTTAGCCTCTCTCCTGGGAGGCAAACATGGGCCACATGTTTTGGTTATCTTTATTCTAGTCATCAAGATGGTGGCATTTCCCAGTTTTTAAAACTGACACACTTTTTTTTTTCATCCAGAAATATCAAATAGGGCAAAGGAAGGCAACAGTTTGCTCTGAGATACGTACAGTGATTGACAAAACACCAAATGTACCCCAAATGAGACTTTGTCGGGGCGGAGATGCAGTGTGTGCTGCGTGTGTGACTACCAACCCCTTCACATGCACTAACCCATTCAAGCCCAGCTCACCTCCACCACCCCAGAAACTCACCTCCACCATGGCTCAGCCTGCTCTGTTCTGCCCCCCCACCCTGTCCCGACCTCCTCTTTTATCAAAGAGAACTAACAGAGCCCTGTTGAGCCATCACCTTCCTCTCTGTGCCTGATCCACCCGAGACTAACACAGTTGGAGTTTTGTTAACCCACCCTCCACCCACAACCCGCCCCACCCCACTGTATGTGTACCATTCACAATGCGCTACTAACACCGACGATCCTTTTTGTTAAATCTCTTTAACAAAAAGCTGCATGCTGTTTTGTTCCAACCCCTTCACTTTCTGTTTGTGAAAGTTGATGTCAATCTCTTTGTGATTATAAATATCCTTTTTTGTTTGGTTTGTATGTTTTTATTTTTTGGTAGAATGCAGCACTCTGGTGAATGTTAGACAAGCCTGGAATAGTTATAATCACAACAGAAAAACACTGCTTATTAAAAGAAATCTCATTGTTTCCTGTTTATTTGTGCTTGAGGATGTACTGTAGTGTGTAGTGGTGGGACGGTCTTGCATTTCACTTAATGTTTTTGTTTTCTTGCTGACCCATACTAGTGATATAACAGTCTCAGACATGCACATTTGACCCCAGAGAGTGCTAGGAATTCCTGCTGTGTATGTTCTTGCACTCCTCACTTGCCTCTTTGATTCATTATCAGTCACCTGGCCTTGTCCACATTTATACTGCTTGTATACTTTTGGTCATAGTAGGGCTAGGTATTGTTTAACAAATTAGGATACCGGTACTAATATCAGTATCCTTAAAGTGATACCAGTCGAGTCAATCATTCTGATACCCATAATGTGAATGGAGTGGCGTGCAGTATAGACATTATTTTGATGGCATCTTGGCACGCTGAACCGGCAACTCTGTCATATACACACAGGACTTACCGTTAGCCTCACAGAGCTAAGGTTACCTAACGTTAAATAACAGTTTTAACAGCAGAGTCGAGCCGGTGCGGTTCTGGTTTTGGGATGAGTTTGTTGGGACCATTAAAAGGCACAGTGTAGGCTGTTGTGTTAGCTCGTGCTAATTAACCAGGTAGACGTTGAATTGACTGTTTGCCAGCAGGAGTGCGGCTGTGGAGACGGCAGCAACAAAAAGTTTGCTGGACCAGCGGGGAGTGGGGAAGGTCTAGAATCAGACACAAAAAAAAATGATCAAATGCAGTTATCGTTTGACTGGAGATGTTCAATTCTAGCTACTTGGTTATTTTGGCTGAAACTGAAAAGGTATTAAGTAACAATACCCAGCCCTATATCATAGCAATCATTAGTATTAAAAGCAAAAAACTTTATCCACTTTAAAGTGGATAGCGCGACTGCAGTTATTTTATCTTACTCTAGCTAAAAACTAACTAGCAGTTTGGTACAGGGCATCTATTCTAAAATATGTTTTATAGTTTATGAATACTAATGATATCTATGAGACTGATCAAATCAGAGGCACGCTGACATCACAAATTTGTGTCTAATAATGATTTAAAACCGAAAGTGTGTACATGGCTTCAGAACAGACCACTGATAATAGACAAGAGAGGCTGGAGGTGTCCAAAAACATGCACAACAGCTGTTTCTAGTGTATCGAATGGGGCAACATGCACACAATGTCTCCCTCTCTTCACCTGCACACCCACATGTCCCCTCACACGTGCATATTCTGTCCACCCTGGGCCTTGTAATGGTAATCCAAGGCCCACTAGCTCCACTTCTGTCTCTTCCTCCTGCTGTATTTTTTTGTGACAGCTGCATATGTTTCATGGTGCTCCCCCTTGTCATGGTTACGGAATCACAGCAAGCTTGGAGTTTCTGGTCTTCGTTTTGTTGATGCAAGATTTCCATACCTGTTCTGTGTCACTTTTCTTTGTGTACTAAGATCTTGCTCTGTAGTGGTTCATATATGTATGCGTGTGTGATACATATATTGCCCCCTCCTTCCTCCCACTTCTCTTCAACTTCTCAGTTAGTGGATGTGACTTGATGTGTTATCTTTATCATCAAAAAAAATAAATAAAAAAAATAGAAATGCTCATACCCAATTGCTTTGCCTTAAAAAACTGCACACCTATGGTAGGAGGGTATCCTGTAGTTTACAGGCTACACATAGCCTCATGTATTCATCATAGTGGAAAACCTACCCTTCCTCTCAGTCTCCCACCCTCTATCTCCCCACCCCACCCCCAACTGCCCTTACCACTCCTTGTGCTGGAAGACACTGATATTACATGCTGTAGGTGATGTGGATGACGATAATGATGATGGTGATGGTGGTGGTGGTTGTGCTGATGATGATAGCGTGATTTGAGTGTTTTGTTTTGTTTGTTTTGATCAGTACCCAACGGGGAAAAGCTCCTCTTATTATTGGAATATTTTTGGTTTTTTTCTCCTCTGTTCTTTCTGCTAGGATAACATCGGACACCGGCTGCTTCAGAAACATGGCTGGAAGTTGGGGCAAGGTCTTGGCAAAACCATGCAGGGTAAGGACTCACTCTTTTGTACACCTATGTTCAAAGTATGCTGGTGGTTCAGAGCCACCACTCTCTTGTCCTTTTGTTTCCCTCACATTTCCAGGTTTTTTTTTCTTTTTTTTTTTTTTTTAATCAACAAATTTTCTTTTCTCTTCACATTCTTTTTTCTGATCTCACCCTTTGTGTCTGTTGCTGGGTAAAATGGATCTCTATTTAAACAAACGTCATTCCAGTTGTTCTTGTTGCTCTCATGCTGCTGTTCCCTCGAACTTGAAGAGGGAGGAGAATGTTCCCATGGCTTTGTAAAGGATTAAGACTGAGGTCAGGGACCCTGGGAGTTGGGAGATGGAAGTGTTTATTTGTCTTTCAGTTATGCATTTAGTTTACAGCAATTTAAATTAAAGCAGACTCCCCCCCCTCAAAATCACAGTTTAATTGGATGCAGTTTTTTTCATATCCAGTTGTTATAGCCAACCAGCTTTGGAAAGAAGCATATAATGGACTTACTGATGGCTGATGTGCCAGTACATAACTGAACCCCTGGTTAAATTCAAACACCCTCTGATCAGCTTATAGTGCTGGGTTAATATCTTGGTTACAGGAGCTAAATGATGTTTCTCTTCTGAGACACTGGTTGTCACTATTGGGGCAATGATGCAGAAGTGATATTGAAGAGCATTCGGTTGACTCTGGAAACACAAGCCAGAAAACATGTTTGCCCGAACCTTATCCAACTGTCTCTTTGCAGGAATGCAAAGTACTTGAATCATCAGCAGGCAAAGTACAAGACTTTTCTTGGGCCTTTTCTGGGCCAGTTGTATTTGCAATTACAGACCAGGCCCCTGTGGCTTTGACATCGGACCCAATCCAGAAACAAGGTACACTGGATAGTCAGATTGGAGTCTGTTTGGGTTTTGTCTTAAAGGGGATATATTATGCTTATTTTCAGGTTCATACTTGTATTTTGGGTTTCTACTTGACATAATTACAGGCTTTAAATGTTAAAAAAAACCCACTATTTTCTTCGAAGTGTCTGTGCTGGAACACCTATATTCATCCTATGTCTAAAATGCTCCGTTTTAGCACCTGTGTCATTAAGCCCCCATCTCTCTGATTGGTCAGTGTATCCAGGTCCTCTGCATCTTGGCATCTCTGCACTGTCATTTCAGCTGTGTGAGTGACTGTAACTGAGTATAGTGGCACTTTCACCAATTAAAGCTTCTAAATGCCATAGGACAGGTTCCAGCAGGAATATATAGAACAAATTACAACACTAGTAACCAACATCACATGTTTTTAGTTGGCATGTAGCTATATGTAGCATTGTACTTGCAGCAGAGGAAATATTGTGTGTAGTAGCATTTTCTACTATTGAAGATCTCCAACAAAAACTTCTAAACCAAAATCTACACAGCTGGATATGTTGCAGCAGGAATATGATCTGTTATCAGGGAGAAATTAACAACATAGACTATCAAGATCAAGGTGTTCCTGATGTTAGCATGTGGCTACATGTAGCGGTGTATGTTAAGTAGACGCTTGCAGTAGCGTGCCTGAAGCAGAAGACCACCAATCTGTCACGATCTCACGTCAGCTTGTAGCCAAAGTAGGAAAAAATGTTTGGAACACAGTATTCACAACTGTTCAAAGCCTGAGGTTTTTTCCTCACAGGGATTACTTTTAAATATGTTAACTTCATTATTGGAAAATCTGACCGTGTTTAATATGAATGTCTGACACAGTAACATTAAACTTGTGACAGAAGAAAAGTAAAGGCATAATAGGTCCCTTTTAAGGTTTTGCTGTACTTGCGATATCTGTCCAGGTCTCTATAATCTGTATAACATCTACTTTAATCTATTAAAATTATGTGTGCACTAGAGGCTTTCTCTTTTATTTTAAGATCGAGGATTTTCTCATTCGAGTGTAGTGAAAGCGGTTCCACAAAAATACTCTGTAAGCTCTGCACATTAAATGAACTCTGTCAGATGCAGAAAGCTTTCAACTAGAAAGCTGCAGTAAAGAGGTTTACTTTTCGGAGACATTTGTAATTGGACGGCCCAGCTGATATTGACTTGCTGTAAGAGGAAGCAGGCTGAACAGAGCTGAGTGTGTGGGTAGGTCTTGGCTAACGTCAGCACCTCATTAGCTCAACCCTGCTGTGCTCATAGGCTCACTGGCTCAGAGGCAGTGGTGCAGAGACCTGGCATGTTTCCACTGAGCTTCTTCCTGTCTCTTCACCCTCTTTCCTCTCCCCATCAATGTCTTTATTCTCTCTATCGTTCTTACGATATTAACTCCCTCTTCATAGCCTCACCCTTCCCTGCACTTTCTCCAAAAAGGATGATGTATAGCATTGTCCGTGAGTGATGTCATCACTGGCAGGCCAATGAGTCCGCGCAGTTTGCTAAGAATGGAGCTTGTTTTTCCACATCATTTCTGGCATTTAGTTTTGTCTACCTCCTCCACTGTGTTCTTTTCTGTCCCCTCAGTCCAAACCATTTTAACCTCCCTTCATTTCTATAACTCTCATGCAGCCATTTCCATCCACTTAATGTTGCTCAATTGCAACTCTTGCTGAAGTGCATTGCTCTCCCTGTAAACCCAGCAGTAACGTGCGCAGTATCAGAATGTTAATGAGAAACATAACGTCTTTAGGGCATGCCATAACTAAAGACAAGTAACGGTCTTACACATGAACATATAGGGGCCTATGCAGAGCTAGTTAAGTGAGTGAGTCGCTGAAATTCACAACATAAATCCAAATACAAGTTCAGACTTATGCTTCTTAATTTGATTCGTAGGCAGCATAGTTAGATTATTGTTAAGTCCATGCCTTCCTCGTGTTTGTGGTTCAGGTAATTAGATTTTCAGCTGTCTGTGCAGTGGTCACATAAAAGTGTCTGTAAGAACTCCTGACTTCACTATATTAAAACATACACTAGTGCTCATTCAGATGTTGACAAAACAGAGGTTTACCCTGCTGAGACATGTCCTCACTTTATCAGATGATGGCTATGGTGGTTAAGTTTGTTTGTTGACCAAAAGAGAAGGAGGAGGAAGAAATATATTCCTTTCTCTGCTGTAGGGCTGCCACTGTGAGGAAATTTTCCCAGTGGTTAATTAACTTGTAACAGTACTGGTGTTAGCAATTACACTCAGACATTTTAAAATAAATTTGTGATGACACTCTCAGTATCTTCAGAGCGCTGTATTACTTTACGGCTAATGCAAACCGAACATTTCTTAATGCTGCAGCTTCACACTAAAAGTGTTTAACTGGCGATACACAAGTTATTATTAAGTTGTCAAATCCGGTGTGTTTGTCAGTGAGGTTAGCACTACGCTATCGTTCATCAGAAATCCTTCTGCAAAACAAGATAGCAGGCATTTTTGGCATTTGTTGACAGCTGATCAGCTGGAAATATTGAACAACTTCACGTTGTTGTTAAAAATAATGATTTAAAGATACATATTGGTTCTGAATATTTGAAACTTTTTCAATACTCATTTCCACACTATCAGTACATTGATACCAGCTGTGCTTTTCTCACTCTTTCTTCTCTCTTTTTGTTAATGTTTACTACAGTCATTCTGCTGTTTTTGGCTATTAGCCAAGAGAAGAAAAGTTGTCATTGCTATGCCTTTGTTATATTTATCTTTTAGTAAAGATACATATTTGTATGCCCTCTATGTTAGTTGGTATCATGGTATCAAAAATGGTATCAAGTATTTTTCTAGGTATTGTTTGAAAGTTAGCAATTTCAGTATCTTGACAACACTATGTTCACATATAAACTGTGTCATCAGATCTATTTACCTCAGTGTAGATATAGTCCTATAGGCAATGTCTTGCTGTAAATCACTTCACTATTTATATCTGTACTCAGCGTTGTCTGATTGAAGAGCCTTGATATATCATGGTCTGACATTTAGACATTAAATGTTTATTGTTTATTGGGTAGCCTCCAGAGACGCACAGACCTGATGACTGGGCTGAGCTGTGTCGTGGCTGTCTTAGCACCTCATGTTTATGTACATATATGGCCTTGGTTCCCTGTGTCCTCTCATAGGTATTCTCGGCCTGACGGTGGCCGGGGACCAGAGTAGATCAGGAAGCTGCTTCATTCTGGGCAGGCTGACAAGTATATGGAGAGCATCAACACAGCAGTAATTTCTGAGCCTAGCGTTTGGTGTGCGTCGTTGTTTCTTTCCATCTGGCCTTGGAACAGCTGAATAGCAATCTATTTGATGTGAGAAGGATGTGCGCTTTGTGTGGAGGAGAGAACAAGTTGCAGGGGCTGACTGTGCTCTTGTTTTTGCCGCTGGCACCACTGATGTGTGGTTATGTAAGCATCCTGCTTTGTGGGCAGATGAGACTGCGGCAAAGTGTGTCCAGTTGTTGTGTAGGAATTGATGGCCCACTGTCAGAGCCCACTACCTCTGTTCAAATTTGCTAATGCACTTAGGCTCACAAACACAACTGCACCCTTGCATCACATCGAAGTTTGCTGGATAATCATTATAATCTTCCTCTCCTTTCCTGTCCTCCTTGCAAGAAGAGAAGGTTTTTGAATTTTGAAGTGAAAGCATTGTGTCCCCTTTTTTAAGTTTTTCACTGTATTGACTTTGTTCTTATTCTTCTTTTGTCCTTTTTGCCCCTTTTTAGGTAAGGTTTGTTGGACCCCCTCTGTATGTCAGTATGTGTGTGTGTGGGTGTGTTTTCTTTCTCCCACTCGGCAGTTGACCTCAATGTAACACCCCTTTTACAGTGTACCGTAGGCTAATGGCCTCTGTCAGCTTCCTCCTCTTTGCTTCATAATCACTAAACCTTTATTTCAATCTGCACAAAGAGTAAAAGTGCTTCGATTTGAACAAAGAACAAAAAATCCATTTTAAATCAAGGTAGATTTAGGAAGCCATGATTCCATCACATCCTTTAGAATCATCATCTCCACGTATGTTAGATTTATTTATTTATTTTTTTTTACCTCTTTGAGTTTCCGTTGCTGCTGTCGGGTATCTGATTGGCTGTAACCACGGCTCAGACTTTGAATGGCTTGCAGAGTAGACAAGTTTTCCCCCCTCTGCTTGTTTGCCTGTTTCTACCTCCAAACCTGTGAAACTTGTGTGTATGTGTGTGGTCATTATGTGGGACTGAGATGTGTGTGTGTGTGTCTGTTACTGACCGGGCCATAGAGTCAACTTACAGGGAAATCTCACCACACTTCTACACCCCGAATGTCTCTGTCCCCATGGTTACACGCTCCCGTCCTCCCCCTGTTTCTTTGCCCCTCCTGCACAGCATGTTTGTCCCAGAGGTGCACTCTTGCCTGCCTCAAACCGTCACACTCACCTGGGGCTTTAAGCAGTGTTGGAGGTAAAACACAGAAGTACTCCTTTTACATGATAGAGTGAAAAGTAACACTTCAGACAGATGCACAGTTCATTTTTAAGTGGTAAGACTGCTACTACATAGCATTGCAGACCCAACTCTAAGCACTGCTCAAAGCCTAGCTGGCTCTTTCCTCAGGTACATTTGTTGTGTGTCATGTGTTGTTCTGGGGTCAAGCACATCCCAAAACAAGCTTTTGCTGGCTGTAGGCTGGCGAGGAAATGAAAGAATCTCAGGGAGATTTGCTAACTGGGCTGACAAGCGTCTGCGTGGCAAAAAGCTTAAAGGGGGAAAATGGTGGTCGTCCCTAGAGGCATCTATCATCTCTGCCTACATATTTGACCACATGTTAAAAAATGGCTCAGTGATTTCCAAAAATAGATGTTTTGATTCATGACTTTTGCTAGAAGATATGCTTCCTTTTTTCCTTTACCTCTCGGAGTTAATATGCCATCAAACCCAGCTGGTTTTTAATCATTCCCTCACCCAGTACAGCTCCTCCAAAAGCACTTATCTGAAGGGGTTTCTATTTTTCTGCTTGGTGAAGGTAAAAAGTGAAGGTTTTTACTGGGGTGTATTTTGTAAGGGGTGGTAGTTTGGTACCTTAGGGGCATATTCTGGTTGAGAGAGCAAGATGGCGCCAGGCTAGGGGCCTGGGGACTGGGACGAGTGGTTGGGAGAGAGTGGTGAGAGGAAATCCCTGTAAGCACCTAGCCCTGAGTGAAGGGATGAGGGGGGTGGGGATAGGGGTGACACACTGAAGCCCCTCTGATAATAAACCCCCCTAAACCCCACAACCACACTCCCAACCCCACCCTCCCTTCTCTATGTGCCTCAATCTTCCTGCTTAACCAATTGGTGTTTCTTTTTTACAGCGATTTGATCCTGCCCATGTTGTGCTGATGGTAAACTTAGTGGTAAATGTTATTTTATCCCCCAATTGAATTGTTTTTATTTTTTATTTTGTTTTAATTTCTCCCATTTTTTTTCGTTTTCCTCTCATCAGAGCACCAATGCTACATAGGCTTTCAATTCTCTCTGTATTAGTCCTCATTCTGCTGCTTGTATATTATCATGCATATGTATTACTCTTAGAACATTGTCATTTTGTTTGTTTTCAGTTTTTTTTAAACCTTGTGATTCACACCCTGTGATTTAGATGCACATGTTTTTGTCTGGTCCCTTTCTTTTCCACTGGAATGGGTAATGTGGAAGTATTGTCACTGTGTTTAAAGATTGGTGATAGCTTGGGATGACTGTAATTGTTCATTAATCTTTTAATTCTGGGTCTGGCTTGTGACTCCATCCAGACAGACCACTGCAGTGGCTGACAAACAGACCAATCCCCCCCCTTTTTCTTTTGGTTTCACTTCTCTACTGCTGTTGGGCAAAGAGCGTGAACACACATCAGCAGATAGTCTTGTGATCTAGATATCACACAATCAGTCCTCTCCTCTCACTTCCTCAGTGGAATAAGGTCTCCATGATTATGCAATCAGAGTTAGGTTTCCAGCTAAAAGCACACCCAGCTGACACTGCAGTGGGACTGAGAGTCCAGGCAGGCCATTACATGTTACAGTGCCCATGCATCTATGATTTCAGAATTAATATGTCATTGGGCTGTGATGACTAAATTATGTGAGGAAAGTGCAGTAATGACACAAATAGCAACATCAAATAATGGTCTTACCTTCCTTCTGCCCAGGAAGGTAAGAATGTCCCAGGAGGTCCCTCCATTTAAAAAAATAGATTCATACTTTAAGCTGGGCCCACACTATATGATTTGAGCTTGTTTTAAAAATGTTATTGTTTAACTTCCACTCCTAGTGTACTAATAAATCATCTGCGATGTAAAGCCAAAGCTCACAATTTATGTGCTCAAGCTGTACGATTTGATTGTCAAGCCACGGCTTGAGCACTCACGCTGTTCAGGTAGAACACCAAATAAAACAACCAGATTGCCCCTACTGACCGTTCAGGCTATTGACAGTTGCCAATAAAGATTAGTTTAAAAACTGTGAGACAGGTAGAAGTTTCTTTGCTTGTGAAGTTTTTTAATGTAACACCAGTACGGCTCACACTAATATATTATTGCAAACATTTCTCTCATTTATATCAGTTGTGATAGGAGGCATGTATGCTGTTGCCACAGCTGGACCAACCTAACCGTCGGCATGATGTGTTGTGTTCCCATGGGAATTTTTGATGCTCTTGTTTGCGACTTTGTGCAGACTCAGTGAGGTAAGAAAGTCACTGACCTTAGGGTATCGACTTGTGGCCTTGCTTCAATTGTGCGAGAGCCTGATGACGGCCGATCAAATTTTCTGACATGTCAGAAATTATCCAAGTGTCTGACGGCTGGTCCATAGCAACAGGGTTATTTTAGTCAACTAATACTAAACTAAAAATGAAAACCAGGTGTTAAAAATCATTTTAGTTAACTGAAATTAAAATAGAAACAAAACTAACTGAAAGGACATTGTGTACCTACAAAACTAACATAAAAACAAAAAAGTTTGTAGACTTGTAAACAAAAATGTAAAATGAAATAAAAAAATATACCGAAATTAAAACACTGTAATAACATTGGGGAGCAGTTGAATGGGCTATGATTGATCCTCCCTCCCCATTCTTCACTGCACAGCAGACGATGCCTGATGAGGTTCAAATTTGGTCCAACTCCAAAATGAGTCTTGCGGCTCAAATAAATCAGAAACAGGCTCGGATTGTACAGTGTGTGCTCCGCTTAAGGAAAGCTAAAAACCTCTAAATGCGTCAGTATTTGGTGCTTTTTACATGTTGTATCTGGGCTCTTTTGGCTCAAAGTATTATTTAAGCAGGGCATTGGAAAACGCATGGTATTAAACCACTGGCCCTACTTGGCGCAGGTATCACAGCATTAAAACTGTACATTTGCAAGCCCAGTGCTTGTAGTTATTCCATATGCCCAATGGTATACATAAATATTGATTCATTACAAAATAACTAACTTGAATGTGTGGGAGGAAAAAAAACTGAAACCAAACTGAATTGATAATCACTATCAGTAAGATCGATTATTGTATCTGGCTGGCAACAGGAGCAGCAGAACTAGTCCAAATTCTTTTATGCCTTTTGTTTTGAGACTCCCCTGTCTATCTGTCTGTCTGTCCTCCCCCTTCCTTCTCCCCCCTGCCCATACCCATGTTTTGCCAGGTAAGTATCCCCATCCCTTGCACTGTCACCATGGCGATACCTGGCCTGTGACGTCACTCTGCTGTAGTTCAGTGCTTGTGTCCTTTTTTAATTTTACTCTGTCTTTCTCTCTGCTTTGTTTGGCTGATTATGAGTGGATTAAGCAATTCTGTGTCAATCTCCAAAGTAGTTTTGATTTTTTATATATTTTATATCTTTAATGTTTCATTCTGTTTTTTTGGTTGTCTTTGGTTTGTTTATTTTTCTACAGTTAATTTCCTTCCGATCTAGCTCTTTTCACAGCTTACGTAACGTAGCTTAAGTAGACAGGAAAAACAGTCTCTCAGCTCTTGTCATGATGAGGAAGGGGGCCTGGGACAAGGGAACAGATTTTGACCTCGGGACAGTGGAACGGGCTTGCAAGGGTCAGCCAGCCTGCAGACAGTTCAGAAAGAGATGATGCAATAGGCCTTAGATAATATTGGGAGGCTTTGTTCCCCCTCATGGAGGATGTCGCAGTGGCAGCAGCTGCGCAGGCCTGTTGCAACTCCCTTCACACACACACTCACACACACACACAGTCCCTCAAGCTGTAGTGTCCTTGATAAACTTGGCATTCTGGTTTAACAGGACTGCAGCAATGAACGGGTGGAGGAGGGGTGGTGGGTTGCATGACTACATTGAAGAGATATGAAAACAGACTGGCTTAAAGTTGACAGTCCTGTTTCCAGTGAACTTTGTCTCCAGTAAAACATATTGCTGAACAACCCTGTTGCCCTTGACTTCATTCAGTACAATAATTTCATTAATTGACTCATTCAAAAATGATAATCAGCAGTCAGGTCAAATGTAAGTGAAGTGAGATAAATTGATCTATACTTGGTGGCTACAGTAAGCTGTGAGAATGGCTGGTGTTTGGTTCACTGTAGCTTTCTGGTCTCTTTGCACTTCAAGGCAAAATTTTCTAACCCCAGCACCCTATGCTCTAAAAGCAGGCTGTCTCCGAGCTGGCCCTCCGTCCCAGTCTCAGAAACTCACCTTGTTCTCTCTCTGTCTCTTTTCCCTCAGGACGCACCGACCCTGTGCCCATCATCCTCAAATATGATGTCATGGGAATGGGACGGATGGAGATGGAGGTAAGATGCTGTTTATTTTATTTCCATCGCTAATAAGGACATAGTAGAGGCACCGGGCGGGTTTTAAATGGCCCAACAAACTGTCAGTGTCCAGCAGCTTAAAGGGAAACTGGTATATTTCAACCTGGACCCTGTTTTCCCATGTTTCTGTGTCTAAGTGAGAATTGAGAGAGACTGCCACAGGCTCAGACTGTCATGTAAAGTGTCTGACAACATTACAGAAAAGACCCTCCAGAGAAATGATATGTTTGTTATTTTGACCAAGTCTCTCTCAAGGAGAAGTCTCACTCTGAAATCTCATGAGAGTGACATGCTGTAGGAATAACAACAGTGGAAACGTTAGTGCGAAGTGGATAGAACAGTGCCGGTAAGAGTATGTGAGGTTGGAGTGCAATAAGTGTCACTTAGTGTTATCGAAAAGATGTTCAGTGTCATGACTGAATACAACATCAATTAAAGCTAAGGTAAAACATTTCATTACTCTTTTAGGTTTTTCCATGATGTTGCCAGACACCTATAATAACAGTCTGAGCTTGCCAGTGGCAAAAACAAGTACTTTTAATGGACTTAAATTAATGGTGCACAGTTACCCATAGGGATTGCATTGCAGCCTGATTTGTCATTGTGGCTGCAGTGATCTCGCACAAAATTGTCTCCAGATAGAAAAACAACAAATATGGTCCAGTCTGCTCTGAGCTTGTTTTGATATTGGACAACATTGCTTTTGAGCTTTAACCTTATTTCACTGCAACTATTGCTGAGAGGTATAATAAAATAAAGAACGTGTGGTGACTCAGTGCTGACTTCTTAACAGTCTCTGGAAGGATCATAGGCTGCTTCGAATCCAATTCCATGGTAAAAAACCCAAACATGAACCACAGAGCAGGGCTGTACTATTTTGCACATAGCACTGGTGTTACAGAGGTTGAAAGTTTTGTAGCACAGGCCACAAAATTGTAGCACAAGTATAAGCGTATTATATAAGTCCATTGCAGTTTGAGACTATTCAAATTATTTTTTCATAACATTTAAATGCATATAGCACTGAAAAATGCAGAAACTGTTTTAAATATGTTATATATATATATATATATATATAGAGAGAGAGAGAAAGAGAGAGAGAGAGAGAGAGACTTTGTCTGTGTTGTACATCTTGTGTATGAAATGTTTATATAGTCACAGCGCTACATTTTTATTAACACATCTGTCACCCACATTCAGGCGCTGTCTCACCATCACACGATAGACTACAACTACCAAGTAGAGTAGCACTTGGCTATGGATTCACCTCACCCACAAACAAGCAAACAAACCTTCACCTCAAACAAACACGCTACATAAATCTGTATAGCACAGGTGCTACTATGGTAATTTTTTTCACTGCGCTGATTGATTCTTGCAGAGTACGTGCTATGTATATGTTACACTGTACTGTACAGCCCTGAGCACCATGCACAGCGCCAAGTTTCAGCTGGAGTCGTGTAGATCTCGGTTGTTTTTGTTTTTTTATTATTAAGAAACATTCTCTGAAGTTATCAATCACGATTCGCCGACTGGCAGCCTGACAGACAAATGTGAGAGTGGTGGATGCCAAGAGAGCACTCACCTGAATGAATGAATGAATAGGTACCAAATACAAATCGGTCATTGGAGAAAGATTCATGGTTTGGGTTAGGTGCCTTTAGCACTGAAGTGTCAGTGCTACAGCACACAGTGACATATGACATGATCCTGTGTCTTTGTGGTTACTGCTCCAACATGACAGGGATTGTGTGCATCCTTCAAACACCTTTGACATGGACAGGCCTTAAAAAAGAATATACGCTATGATACAGCAACACTAACTGCCTCAGTAATGCTGCAGGTGCTTCTACTCTGCTTCCTGCGGAATGTAACTTGGAATTTAAAATACATTTGACCTTCACAATTTCGGCTGAATATCATCTATGAACCTTAAGAGGACCTATGCTTCTTTGTTGACGTGTTCCCACAGTCCATCTTGTCTTTACTATTAAAGTCCAATAGATTTTTTTGTCTCCTACAGTATGCATATCTGCTCTGTAACTTTCTTGTCATGTGTTCTCCTTTGATAATACCAGAAGAGAGAAATTGATATTTTATATATGTATTTTTGGGTTTCATGATGGCACTCCCTAGTTTTGCATTAATTCAGTTACCTATATGAAGGACTTGTTTTGATTCGGCCACCGGCAAAAAGGGACTAATAAATGTGTTATTAGTTTAAGTTCAGGCTTCTGTTACCATAAATAACATGTATCAGAAATCACAAGCAACACAAGCTGACCGATCATAACCCCTGTAGTCCAGATGTGTCAGCAGCATAACAGCTTGTCCACACATTGCATTAAACATATATAAGATTAATTTTGACGTGTTCCTTTTGATTCAGGAGTGTTTTGTTTTCTGCAAGTGCTGTAACTGCTGTCTGTCCTTGTAGCTGGACTATGCAGAGGACGCCACAGAGAAGAGAAGAGTGCTCGAAGTGGAGAAGGAGGACACAGAAGAACTGCGGCAAAAATACAAGGTGAAGCCCTGCACCCTTGGTTCATTCTGAAAACTAATGTTGGTTTTGTTCTATTAGGGCTGCTGCAGCACATCTAATGAGGAAGAATATATAGAACTCTAGTACTCTGGTTATTTAATTAAGTCTTGTCTTCAACTCTTTGAGGACAGTCAGATTCATTCACACATTCCTTCCTGTATTTCCCATCAACTACAGGACCAGATGGAAAAGGAGAAAGCCATTGCCAAGGCTCTGGAAGACCTGAGAGCCAATTTCTACTGTGAGCTATGTGACAAGCAGTACACCAAACACCAGGAATTTGACAACCACATTAACTCGTATGACCACGCTCACAAGCAGGTATTGCTGCTTATTAATGGTGATCTGTATGTGTTACAACATCAGAGAGATGTCTTTTCTCTGAGAGAAGAGATCTTGATGTACTTGTTTCTCCCTGTCTTGCTTTTGTATATTGCAGAGGCTGAAAGAGCTGAAGCAGCGAGAGTTTGCTCGTAACGTGTCATCTCGCTCCAGAAAAGATGGAAAGAAGCAAGAAAAGATGCTGCGCCGATTGCATGAGCTGGCTGAGCAGAGGAAACAGCAGGACCGGTAAGAATTTGTTCATGGAGTGCCCTCTGCTGGCTGGACTTCAAAACATATCTGCAGTGGTTTTACAATTGCATGTCTATTGTGTGTTGAAGAATAAATGTGTAACCTGGGTCAAACAGAAACTACAAATAAAACCAGAAATACATATTTTATTTAATTTAACAGTTCACTCTCACAGTAGATTAATATATAGAATTTAAAATTATTTCTTGTATGGAGGACATTTTTCTCAAAGTGAAGCCAGACATGTCAAATACGTTACTATAATAATTCCTTGTATTCCTATTTTTTAGTTGATAAAACTGATTCCAGATAGGGAAAACTACAAGGACCCGCTTGGGCTCTTTGACCTTGTTAAGATTGCCAGTCCAAATCGTATCCAATTTGTATCCAGAATGATTTTAGAAAGTCTGGACAGGAAGAAAGAAAAACACAGGAAATACGATTTTTGCAGATCCAAACCACATTTGGGTGATGTTTGAAATGTGATTCCAAATGGATTTCTGCAGATGCCTCTCAGTCCAGATGCTTTAGCTGCTGAAATCAGATTTCAGAAGTGTCTTTTGTGTCATATTCAATGCGCGAAACACACTGACATTGTGAAATCCACAGTTAAAGAAGTGCTCAGTAGAATCCATACTGCTACTATCAGAACACTATGAAATAGTTTGGTGCAACAGAGGAGTTCAGCACCGCAACTTGGCAGCATGATTGTTTGGAGGGTGAAATGATGGACCTCCATTTTTCTTTTTTCTGCGATGGAAAGCCGCATCACCAATGTAACCATGCAGTTACTGATGCCTACGTCATTACCACAGCAACCTGTGCAGATTGATTGGTGATGTCTGGACACACAAATCCGATCTGATCATTTGCAAATAATAGTGTGGACACTTTGTCTTAGAAATCTGATTTGAGGAATGAATCTAATTTGCCTGCAGTCTGCATGTACATTTTGTGATGGTAAATAAACACAAGTATTTGGTATTTTTTCACCTGTAAATATTTATCCCACATCTTATTGTAATTACACTTTTGTGTTTCAGTACTCCAGGAAGCGGGCCCATGTTCAAAACTACCACAGTGGCTGTGGATGGAGAGAAGTCAGAAGATGGCGACATGACGCCTGAGAACACTGCTTTGACAGACTGTGTCCTAGAAGGATCACTGGCAGATAAAACCGGGGAATCCTCCCCGAAGCCAGGCCCAACCATCAGCTTCTCTCTGGGGAAGAACAGCTCCTCCTCGCCAACCCCCAGTGGCGGCTCCAAAGTCAGTGTGTCCTTCTCTTTTGCCAAGAAAGCCCCAGTAAAGCTGGAGACAGCAGCGGCAGTGTTTGCTGATCATGGAGAGGAAGCTATGGAGGAAGAAGATGGCCAGGAAGGAGAAAAGGCTGGAGGGCAGGAGGAGACATCTGGCTGCGGTACAGACAGCCCTAAAGCAGGATCAGGAGGAGGTGAAGGAGGAGACAGTGCTAGTGTGGTGGGGACGGAAGAGGTGCAGCAGCCTGATGATGGAGCCTCTCTAGCCTCCACTCTCAACAAACTGAAAATGATGATGAAAAAAGAGGAAGGATATGCTGGACAAGAGCCTCAGTATTATCACTATATACCTCCAGCTCACTGTCGGGTAAAGCCTCACTTCCAGTTTTTGCTGTTTATGAAGGCCAGTGATCAGTGTACGAGCAAAGACGAGGAAGACGAGGAAGAGGGGCAGGAAGAGAAAAAGGTTGAAGATAGTTCTGAACAGAAGGAGCCCAATGTTACAGAGTGCAAGACTGAAAAAGAACGAGATAATGACACTTTATCCCCTGACCCAGAGCCAGCTCCTCCATCGCCTAAAGTGAAGACGGAGGATGCCTCTTCATGCACAGCAGATGCAGGTCCTGTGGTCCCCACTTCCCCTACACAAAAAGCAGAGAGCACACAGGAAACTCTAGACTCCAGCTCGGGTCCTAAAATCCCCACAGGTCCCTTCTTCCCAGTTCTGAGCAAAGACGAGAGCACGACCCTGCAGTGGCCCTCTGAGCTCCTCGAATTCACAAAAGCTCAGCCCTCCCTGTCTTACAGTTGTAATCCCCTCTACTTTGACTTCAAGCTGTCCCGCAACAAAGGAGCACGTGGTGGGAAAGCAGCAAAGTCCCCTAAGCCTTGTGAAGAGTCTGAGGACAAGGGGCAAGAGACGGCTGCCTCGACAGCTGAAGTAGACATAGCTACTAAACCTGGGACTAGCACTGACAAAGACAAGCCACTGGTGAAGGGAGAGCCTGGCCAACCAGAAGGTGACGAGCAAAAGCCTGCAGCTGGCAGCAGTGGTGCCAAGAAGAAAAAGAAAAAGAAGAAGCATAAGAAATCTGCAAAGCATTCAAAACGCAAAGGAAAAGACAAGGGAGCAAAAGAAAATGCAGAGGGCGAGACTGAGGTTACGCAAGAGAAGCCCAAGAAAAAGAAAAAACACAAACGGAAGAAGAGCAAAAACAAAGCTCCAGATCAAGATGAGGCACCAGGTGATGAAAAGGAAAAAGCTAAACCAAAGTCAGAAGATAAAGCTGTTGCCTCCTCTGTTCAGCCGACAACTGGAGGGGGAGGAGCTACGGGAAACACAGGAGTAGAACTGGGAAAGAGGAAACGTGCCACGAAGGAAGTGCCTTGCAAGTCTGGAGCAGAGGAGGGAGGAGCCGGGAAAGGCACTGACAAGGTCAACTCCTCAGAGGAGCACAGTGGCACCAAGCGACAAAAGACTGACTCCAGTGCACCTCAAAGTGCCTCCTGCTCCACCTCAGCCCAAAAGAGCCCAGGTCCTGGTCGACCTCCCAGCAGCGAGAGTGAAGAAGAGGGTGGCTCTAATACACAGCGCTCTCGTCATCACAGGTCAAGTCCTCGGGAACAACGCCGCCACCATAGTGAGGAATCAGGGCGGTCTTGCAGTCGTTCTTCAAGACGTGGGGAAAGACGAGGCAGCAGTCGTAGGCGCCATCGTGGCCAAACCTCCCGTAGTCATTCATACTCCAGCAGCTCCGAGCGCTCCTCAGCCGGCAGCAGCGCCTACAGCCACCGTAGCCGCAGCTACTCAGACAGCTACAGCGACTACAGCACAGAGGGTCGCAGGCGGAGACACTCTAAACGTTCGTCAGACTCTGAGTATGAGAGGAGGGGCAGCCGAGGGCGTAGACGATCCAGGAGACATCAGTACTCCTCTTCATCCTCAGAAGACTCCCGCTCACGTTCACGCAGCTACAGCCGCAGGAAGAGGCACCGGCGGCACCATCGGAGCAGCTCAAGAAGCTCCAGTAGCTGGAGCCGCAGCACCAGTGCAAGATCCTGGAGGCGCAGCTACAGCAGAAGCCACAGCTCAGCCAGCCGCTCCTCCAGTTCCACCAAAGGCTCTCCTCGCAGACGAGGCCCCAGGGCTCGAGGGGACACCGACGCACACCGGAGAGACTTCAACCGCTCTTGCATCTACCGCTCCCAGTCTCCACGTTCATCTTCATCACGAGGCCTTAATCGCAACACCCATTCATCCAGCTCACAGTCACTGAGGCCAGGGGGGTCCCGAGATGCCGGGGAACAGAAAAACACCCTCACTGCGCGTCAGCTGCTGGAGAAGGTTCAGTCTAAAAAAAGCTCTGATGATTCTGCCACAGGAACAAAATCTGGGATTAAGATTAAGGACCCACCACAGGGATACTTTGGTCCCAAACTTCCTCCGACCCTGGGAAACAAAGCCATGTTGCCGCTTTTTGGTAAGCTGCAGGCAGGGAAGAAACCACTGATCCCCCTAACCAGACCTGATGAGGGTGAGAAGTCAGGAGCAGGGAAGTGCTCCGAGGCTGAGGCAGAGGTTATTCTGGTTGAGCCTATAAGGGAGTTCCCCCCTCCACCACCACCTCCAGCTCCTCCGGTTCAGAAGGTTGAGGAGGCCCCGCAGATCACAGTGGTGCAAGAGGAGACACAGCACCCTGCTACAGAAGCCCAGGTGCACCAAGAACCCCGGCCGTTGTTTGAACAGGAGCCTTCCATGATGATGCCCCAGTACCAAGGGGAATCAGGACAGGACCCTTCTCAGATCTCCATGATGGAGTCCCTCATGCCAGAAATGCAGCAGCAACAGCAGCAGCAGCCTCCAATGCATACCTACCCTGCTTACCCACCACCCAACCTGGAGGAGGACGGCATGGAGGCAGAGGAGGATGGACTGGCTCCTTTAGAGAGTCAGCCCATTACGTTTACGCCAGAGGAGATGGAGAAATACAGCAAGCTGCAACAGGCTGCACAGCAGCACATCCAGCAGCAGCTTTTGGCCAAGCAGGTAAAGACATTTCCGTCTGCTGCTGCAGCTGCAGCAGCCGCTGCAGCAGCTGCCAACTTGGCCCCAGCTCCCCCTCCCCCAGCCCTGCAGCAGATCCACATCCAGCAGCCCACTGTGTCTGTAGCCTCTGGCACATCGATCACCACAGTGCAACACGCCATCCTGCAGCACCACGCTGCCACTGCTGCAGCCATGGGCATCCATCCAGCACATGCACACCACCCACACCCTGCACATGCCCAGTTGGCCCAGGTACACCACATTCCCCAGCACCACCTTACCCCCATCTCCCTGTCTCCTTTGGGCCACTCCCTTGGTCATTCTCTGGGACACTCACTTGGACATGCTGGGCTGATTCCTGCCCACCCAACAGCCTTCCTCTCTGGTCAGCCTATACATATTATACCAGCTTCTGCACTTCACCACACCCCTTTAGCTCTCCACCATGTACCACATACAGCCCTCTACCCCACACTTTTCACACCTCGGCCCTCACAAGCTGCTGCAGCAGCAGCTCTCCAACTTCATCCACTGTTACACCCAATTTTCTCAGGACAGGACCTCCAGCACCCACCGAACCATGGCTCTTGAGTAACGATACAAGTGAAGGAGTAAAGTCACAGCACCCAACCACTAGAAGAAAGACTTAACCTGACTTGGCTTGGTTAAGGGTTTTAAGATGAAGTCTTGGCAGCAACATGCAGGCAGTGAGACAGGAAGCTGTCAATAAACCATTTTACCGGTCAACACAGTGCAGAAGTTGTAGCCACAAAGTGGTGCTGCTTGTGTTTGGTTCAAATTTGACACTAACATTTTTTTCTGGTTCACGTGAGATTTTTTTGTTCATGTTTTGCCCTGAACAGGCTGTAAATTTAAAAAGACTTCAAGACACTGGTTTATATTCCATCTTGAGGTATATTAACACCACCCATTTATTTTTGAAGGAGAAGTCAGAGAAACCACTGGAGTTTTTTTTTTTTTTTTTTTTTTTTTTTCATGTAGAAATATTATTCTCACAGTTTTCTGCTCATTTTGGCAGCCAAAGAGAGACGTATTGGCTGGAGCTATGAGCTGATCATGTTAAGAGGAGTATGAGGTAGGCAAATGGCTTCGACTCTGTAATGTAACCTTCAGAGACAGACTACTTCATATTTACTGATATTGTTTATGTTCTCATATGACTACTTGCTCTCTATTGGATTATCAAATAATTTGTAATGCAGTAACTTGTACATATATATCAGTGTGTAATGTGAAGAATCCCACCAATGATGACCATATGAAATTACAGCTATGGTGTCCAAATCGGTATGACATAAGAACCCCCTCTCTAAGCAAGGGGGAGATGTGATGTAAGGGGTTGTAACATCCCTGATGCTCTGAGGCAAAGTTCATGTTCCCTGTGGTGAGGGTGCACCTGAAAAAAATTGCACTGAAAATCTGTACATGGAGATGGTGCGTTTGCATCATGTAACAATAAGATTGTAGTATACTGCAATAATTGTATTTTTCTGTTTTTAAATTATTTTCCAAAATGCTCTTCAAAAGAAGGGCTGTGTTTTGCTTTTGTGTAATTTTGTAAATAAAACTGCTGTAGATTAACCTATTAACATTTTAGAGGTTTGGTATTGGAAAAAAAAAAAAAACAGAACGATGAGATGGATGGAAGCTGGTCACATGTATGTATTTTATCACGTTTGTTTAATTAGCCCAGTTAAGATGGGCTGGGATGGTAAAGGATAGTGGTTTGTCAAACAGTAGCAACTCTGTATTTTTTAAAAACTTACTGTTTCAGCAAATAAAATCTTGAGTTCATGTGTGTTTTTCCATAATATGTAGAGGGAACAAAACTGACATGTAAACATTTAAACTTTTAACCACCCGGCAGTCAGAGGGATGAAAACACCTGCAACGCTTCATCTGGAAGAAGCCAAGCAGTCCCTGCAGGGGTAAGTGTCAAAATTGAAACACTAGATGGTGCCTTGGTTGCCTCGAATATACGTGTGAAAGCAGTATATCAACAGAGGCAATTAAGCAGCAGAGTAAAACACCCCCGAGTTTGAACTTTGTTTCTGTTTCCAGCAGTCATTTGATGAAGATATACCAAGGGGGATGAAACATTTTATTCTATGAAGGGAATTAAATCACTAACATAGTGAGACTAGACCCAAGCTTAAAGGGACAGTTCAACCCCAAATCAAAAATACATGTTTTCCTTTTGACCTGTAGTCCTATTTATCGATCTAAATTGATTATCGATCTTTATTGATATGACAGCGAAGATAGACAGGAAAGTTGGGAGACAGAGGTCGGAATCAAATCAGCACCATTGCTAAGGCCTCAGCCTATACAATCCACCAGGTACGCAAGGGTCAACCTTATGAATTTACATTGTTTTGGTGTGAGTTGCCAAGTGTTGAAGATTTTGGCCCTCTTTCCAATATAATTAAACTAAATGGCACTGGGCTTGTGCTCAAAGCACCAGAAATACATTTGAAAACCTCAACAGCAACGTCTCTTTCTAGAAGTCATGACCCTACTACCTTACTCAAAACCTTGCTGTGAGCAGTTTCATGCAGGAACTATTTTCTCTACCAAAATAGATCCACCGACCGCATCACCACACAGACGGAAGTGTGCATCAATGGATTAGTTAATAGCTATCGGCTATTGCCAGCTCATGTGGCACCACTGAGCTGGCTAATGTTACAGTTCAGCAGAGGAAGACGCCAATTATTTTTTCATCATGCCATCATGAGCACGAACCTCTTGTGCATGACTAGATGCACGCGTTGTTCTGCGCGGTGATAAGCTTGGTCAGTGTAATTTAGTAGAAAGAAAACAGGCCCTACATGAAACTGATCACAACATTGTATTGGAGAGAAGGCAGACATCACATTTGGCAACTAAAAAAAAAAATCAAGATTGATAAAAAGCACTACAGGTTAATAGTAAAAATATGTATTTTTAATTTTTAGGTGAACTGTCCCTTTTAATACAAGATAAATAATATGAACACTGTCAAATTAACTGCTGCTTTCATTGTCTTTCTGAACAGATTCTTGTTGGCACTGTTCTGTTCATCATAAAACAAAAGAATTTTTTCAGGGAGCACCCTGAGTTGCAGTATAATGAAACATGGAGCACTGTAAGCATTTCTACATGAGTATTTCTATTTGTCCATGAACTGAGAAGTCAGAATGACACTGACAACATTACTGACAGGAACAAAACAAATAGCTTTTCACTGGAGGCAAACGCAAGCTGAGTGTAATGCTCTGACAAATTTCTGAAAAGCCATTTGGGTAGTCGCAACAGTGATTTACAGTTTCAGAGTGGTTTTGATAAAAAAGACTAGATAATGGAGCAGACCTATTATCATCAAGTCCAATGTTCTGTTGAAGCTCCAAGTGGAATAAAATACTGAATGTAATTAAGGTCTTCTTCAACCTTACCGTTTTGCAGGTGCCCAAAATAATTTAAATGGTGGAAAACAAACTACAATGGCACACTTTATTTTAAAAAAAATTACTGAAATCAGATGTTAAAAATTCAGTTCTGCCACTTTTCCTATCATGATGGATGATGTGCTGCAGAAATGTCCACGACTGATCAAAAAACGGCCGCTGCGGATGGATGACAATCAGCCCAGGTATCTGATTACCAGGAAGATGAAGACGCAGGTCACCAGCATGCCTCCAATCATGATGAACTTATCTTGGGTCGCTCGCCTTTCTATTAGTCTCATCACTGTGTTCGACAGCCCCAACATGTTGGCCACATCCAGCATCTTCTTATGGGTCCCCTGTGCAGAGCCCAAACACAGCCATGTTAGTAATGATGAGGTGTGTTAGATTACACTGTAACAACCATGAATACACTAAATGTTTTGGAAAATAAGGGCATTACATGACACATAGTAATCATCTACACTAATTTGATTTTGAGAGACGTTGAGTGCCAACACCCTCCCTGACGCGCCACTCCGTCAGATCATGGCTAGACAACTGGGCTATGAGTGCTGATCAACAGACACACCCTGATAAGAGGAGGCCTGAAGCGAAACCAGGAAGACCATCTCCTCCCTGGAAACAAGGACTCACCCTCAGGCTGAGCATATGAACATGAACAATAAGACTATTGTGATCAATGTGGACGTCAGAAACTGGGTCAGGAAACATACAATTTAACCTGTAGCCATCCAGGAAACATACCCAGCAAACATTAAATGGACGATGTCATATCCCTGACCAAAAAGGGTTCCGATTGGATGGGAACCCGCTCTCTATGTAGAAATAAACAGCTCATTCTAAGGTAAAGAAAACATGACAAGGTGATTATAAACTAAAGTATACATACTTATATATTATTATATTATATTCCATTTGGCCAATGTATCCCTCTAAATCCTACACACTGGACCTTTAAGCCTGTGGTTTATGTAAGAGCCCCAAGTCTTAATCCAAGCTCTCTCTGATTGCACAAGGGAGAAGTTTACCCTCAGGGCTTTCCATCAGAAGTCAGGTGACATAGTATGGAAGGTGACAAAGTCCACATAGGGAGGAAGTCTTGGTGGATGAATAGGTCGACATGAGTCAACAGTGGCTTTTCATTTATTTGTGTTGATGTCACATAATGACATTGCTTGGACGCCCAGGAAGGACTTTGAGCTAATGGCCAGACGTGTGGCATCCCGGAAGTCGGCACATCTTTGAACCATAACTGTACGTCTTAATTGGATGTTCAATTGTCTCAGTTTACTCTGTGTCTTTCTATGCGGGTTCCTTTATTCAGAAAAAAAAGAAAAATAAAGGTCCTCTGTGGTTACAGATTATTATTTTTCTTTCTAATTTTTGTATTAAATCACATGCACACATACCTTCAGAGTGGATCTTTGATCTCTGAGGCCGTTGAGGATGCTACTGCCACTGCCCAGGAGGTCATCCATGCCTCTGTGTGCGTTGTGCAAGTTGGAGTTTAACTGTAGGGTCTCATCTATGGGAATGGAGGTATCTGCGTCCTATTGAACAAGAACAAACTTATTTAGATTGAGACATTTTTATGTTACACTGAGGAAATATCAACCAGACTCAACGTTTGCAGAGGACTATCACATTTTTACAAACCCTCTTTTTATCAGAAGACTTGGACCTCTGAATGCTGATTCATGGCCAATAAAGTGATTGCCAACTTCACCTGGCTCGACCTGAGCTCAGTAGCATCACTTTACTTCCCACCCTGTTTTAAAGGTCCCATATTATGCTTCTCCAGGTTCACACTTTTATTTTGGGCTTCTACTCGAACATGTTTACATGCTTTAACATTCAAAACTGTAAATGTTTATTTCTGTTGTCATTTTCTGTGTTCTCTGTACAGACTGCATATTTCTTTGTGAACTGAGCATTCTGATAACTTCACAGTATTTATACAACACCTACACCTGCTTTATATTAAAAAAAGACATTGAAATTTAACTTTTTACAATATGGGACATTAAGGTACATTAGACTTACATTGGTTGTGAAGGTACGGTTCATGAGTTCCTCCCTCTCTCTGTCCTGGGCCTCTCTAGCATAGCGTCGGTGCTGGAAATTCTGCAGGGCGGTCCGAAGGTGTTGGACATCATACTTAAGCTGGTCCACTCGCCTGAGGGGAAGCAAAGAATACAGTAAAAAATATGAAATAGACAAAAGGTCTCCTTTAAGTAACTCAAAATATTCTTTTGCTCACCTCTTTGACCTATTTTATGATAATACATCATTGCACTACATCTTACACGTGATTCTAACTGTTCAGATTTGTTCTGGCTGATGACAACATTTCTTTTCCTTCAAATCTCATGCAGTTGGAATGAAGAGTCCCTCACAGTCGCCCCCTCCTCTTAGCTTCACTCAGACCCCACTAGAGCTCTACTAAGATCAGAGGAGTGATGTGGGATGGTGCATACTGTGTCCCCTAAGGCCTGTTTACCCAGCTCAGAAATGAGTCTTTTCCCAATGCAGCAGGAATGCTGGTGATGACGGGGCTTCTAAGGAAATGTTTTCATAGAGCCACATCGCCAAAGGGCAGGACAGGGCTGCTTGTCTCATCTTCTACACACTGCCCTGTGCCTTTATGAGATATATGGCTCTCTGGGGCTTTAGGGTCACCATCAATAGACTCGATACAAACTCACAATTTGGCATTCTGGCGGCGGTTTGGTGGCTCCTTGCTGGCCAGGATCTCGAGGCGTTCTAATTGATTGAAGATCTGGTCGATTCTCGCCTGCAGCTCATTCTCTAACACTTGATCAATGAGGAAAAAGAGAAAAATTAGAGAATACACAACAATTGACAATGTATTTGGTGTAATTACAGGAAGGAAGACATCATATTTCCCTTTTAGATAGTTTTAATAATCAGGTAAAATGCACCCTTAAATGTATTATGTTTGTTTAATGCATTCACTTGAGGAAAAAAAAATGGCACTGTTTTTCTGATTTAACAATGTTATTATATCTGAACTGTCTACTGCCTGGCTCCCACCATTATATAGAAAGAAAAAGCCTTCCCAGCTTCTGTCACTGCACCCACCCCTGCTTCTTCCTGTCCTGGCACCAGCCTGGCCCAGAACTGATAGAGCAGGCACCAACGACAGAAAACAATCAACCACGGAGACACCACCTTCCCTCCTGTCATTATATCAGAAAGGCAGCCATAACAAGGAGTCTGTGCTAAATAGAAATTAAAGAAACAATTCAAAGGAAAATGAATGAGAAGTGGTGCCATAGATTGAGACAGCTATCTTTGGGGAAGCGGGTAATGATGACACATCTCTGACATTCAGCAGAAAAGATGCAATTGCTTTTTGTTGCGACCCTTGCTGTTGTTCATCCGCGTCAGTGTGTGTTGAACTGCTTTGAGTGTGGGACTGGCTGGTAATCTGGGCTTTCTTGTGGCACCTGGGCCCAGTGCTCCCAGTCTAAAAATGTCAGCTCTGTAACTCATTCTCACTTTCTCCAGGACAGGCACCCTCCCCTTGGTGATGTCTCAGCTTTAGTTCATCCTTGGTTCCCTTTTGCTTAATTTGTGCACTCTGCAACATTCCCACACTACACTGATCATACATTGACTCAGCACATTACTGTTCCCACTGACATCTAAGTCTTTATGTTCCATATTATCGTAAAATCAGTTACTTTTGTTAAACAAATTACTTTAATAGTGTGTCTCTCGTATTTGTCATGGCCCAAGAGCCTGGTTATGACACTTCGGCCTACCTTATAGTCAGGAGATCCTACTGGAGTGGAAATCTACTAGACCACCTAAAGCATCTGTCTGACTGACTGACTTGATGCTCCTCCTCAGGTTAGAGAAGATCAAATATTAATTAGGGGATCAACCAAGAATATAATTTATTTGGAATCTTATGATACCCTATTTAAAAAGGTCAAAAAAAAAAAAAAACCTCTCTCTAAACTGACTGTCGCACACCTCTCCCTTTAACCTCCCCTTGATGATCATGACCACTTTTGTCTGGCTAAGGGTTTTGGTGGTTATGGTCTGGTCTCATGGCGTGAACAAAGAACTTTGTATTATTACTGTAATTTTTGTTGCTGCTGTGTTGTTTTATTTCTCTTTCTTTGTTGCTGTTTTGTTTGTTTGTTTTGGTTTCTTACCTCTTTCCTCCTACACAACTCTACGCAATATTGTGTGATTGAGTGTATATAATTTTATCTAATAGTTTTATAGGAAACTCACTGTGTATGTTGCCATATAGTGATGTATGTCATTACTCTAAAGGGACAGTTCAGGGTTTTAAAGTGGGGTTGCACAAGGTTCTTAACCATAGTCAGTGTATTACCCACTATAGATGGCGGTCACCATGCCACCTGTTTGGAGAAGCAGACTGGACTCCACCACGGAAGCTAAGTAACGCACTGCTGTGAATGGGGTCAGCAATAAAACGTATTTTAGCCACCTAAGTTCCATTTAAAAAACACTATGGCAGATCAAGTGTACACTATATTGAGAGTATGGTTAGTGCTTTACCTTCTGTCAGACAGCCAGTTCCAACGGGAAAACTTTTAGCAGCTTCAGTTCCACATCTATGCTCTCATCAAAGCCATCAAAGTCCATTGACACAAACAGTAATTTTGGCTTGCTGAACACAGGAGGCCATTTAGTTAGTTTATGTTATTAACTTACTTTGGTGAATCCAAACTAACCACTTCAAATTCCAATGTCACACAATAATATTGCAAAATACTTGATCCAGGCAGCGGCAGACCAGCAACTCCTGTGTCCAGCTATGTTAAATTACTATTTTTCTCAATGGACTCTGGCTTTGAAGAGAGCGATATATGTCTGACAGAAAGGTAAAGCAGTGCAAATACTCTCAATATGACCTACACTTAAAATAATATGGACTGTTTTAGGTAGGACTTTTTCAGGTAGCGAAAATATGTATTATTGCTGACCCCATCCACAGCAGTAGATTGCCTAGCTTCTGTGTTAGAGTCCAGCCTGCTTATCCAAGCTGGTGGTGTGGCAACTGCCATCTACTGTGTGTTATGCACTTACAATGGATATACAACACCTACAAATCCAAACCATCCCTTTAACCTAACATCTGTATCTGTATCTATCTATATTGCTATGACAGTCTTTAATAAAAAAAACAATAACGATCAATGAAAAAAAAAAAAACAATCAATGAAAAATCAACAGTGATGGTTAGTACTATAACAAGACTTACATACTAAGTAGAGGGGGTGCTGAATGTGACCGTCACGTAGTTTAAGTCATGTACTACTTACAGTGTACTGACTGGCGGTCCGTCTTTTCCAGATTTCCCATCAAAGACTGCACCTCCTGGATTTGCCTAATACATTGTAAAATATATCGTTAGTGGCGTCAGTGGATGGGAGCCGACACATGATGCCAAAATACAATCTGGCAAACATTTATAAACATAAATTACCAACTGTGTGACGATTTTAATGTCTAACGACCCGACTATGATCATGTTAGTTTGCTTCAGTTAACTACGACTGAAGTTAAATCACTGGTCAGTAGCTAGTTAGCTGTTAGCTGAGACAGTTTTCACAGAAGACAGACACACTTACTTGTTTGTCTGGTGATAAAGCGTCTCCATCTTCCGTGATTTGTTAAAGCGCTGTTTTTCCCTATGCGTTGTAACGTTATTTCATTAATAATGCCGTTATTCTGACAGGTGGCTAAGCTAGCCAGCTAGCTAGCTAACGGTAGTGGAGTGTACACGTCATCAGCAGAGCCTTTGTGTACGGAAATAGGAAAGCGGAAGTTCTGTCGCGTCACCAGAGAGAGCGCGAGAGGGAGGGGTAAAAAATTGAGAATGCTCAGTCTGCCTCGACTTTTGGACACTGAAAATGCAATACAAAGCTGTACCTTAGCCTTTGTTTCATTAGCACTTGTGTCTGGGACGTTTTTGTGAGATAAAGAATGTCATAAGGTCTATTATCCTTCGTTAATAACATCGCTAACTGTGCTCTTTTGATTACAAGCGTCTGATATGGCTATATTTTCACAATTAACGATCTTTGTCTTGTACAAAATGCTTTTTTGTGATTTTTATCTACTTTCCTTGCAAATTATTAATAATAAATTATATATACATAGCCGCATCCCATTCATTAGGTCTATATATTTAACAAATTTTGCGGTTATTGAAACTCCAAAAGAAAAAAAAATAACCAACTGTCAGTGTGCTTAAGGATGACCTGTGATGTATAAGTTGTATAATATCAAGAGTAAATAAAAATAGGATTGTACAAAATGCTGAAGAAGCACCACCTAGTGTCAACACCTCTAAGTACCAGATAAACTGGCAAGAACCGAGTACTAATGCCATTATTATTTAACCTTATGAATTGTCCTCCTTGGTTTCAAATTCTAAATAGTGATACATCACTAGGGTGAAAACAGGACACTGAATATTGGCAGCGAATTACATGCAGACTGAATCCAGCTACATTGGTTCCCAATCACTCCCCATTGAGGACCAGTAAATATTTTGTTCGGGTAATTTCAATTGATGCTAAACTCCCTAAATTTAAATCCAGGCTGCAGGCTATATTTTTCATTATATTTGATATTCTCTTAAAGGTAATAGCTGACAGGTGTGATAGCAGAGATCCTTTTCCCTAACCCAGGACGAGCTCTGAGAGCATCTAGCATAATCTGTTGACATGTAGACATGTGACAGGAAGAACTCTGAGAAACACGTCCCGGGGCTATCTTTTGTCAGCTCACCCTGATTCAGTCTAATGAGGCTATCCTATTTTTCCACAGATAGGTGTCAGAATATTCCTGCCTGTCCATCCAGGGGCCTCCTTTTTGCCTGCGGCCAGAGACACCGAAACTAATGATATCAAACTTTTCAGTCAGAGATCACTGTGGAAAGGATGTCTGAGGAAGGAGACAGGTTTGTTTGTGAAGCTGAGTACTGTGTGAAAGTGGCATGATTGGATTTCCCAGAACAAGCTGTGAAAATTTCACAATAGTTCCTTGGTGATTTAGTGGGAGGAAAAATCATCCTGGGGCTCTGCCTGGCACCTTCACAAAACCACATCTCAATCACCTTGCACCAACCCTCCATCACCTCACCGTCTACTTCTAATTTGGGAGGGGTGAATCGATGAGAGCAGGAGCAAGCAAAGCAAATTCACGCATCCTTTGAACTAATTAGTGCAGTGAGCTGTTACGAGCTCCTGTTTGCCACTGATAGCTGTGTTTGTTTACCTCATTCGGCACAGCAATCAGAAGTCGGCCCAGACAGTTTTCCGTGGCTGCCTGATGGTACTTGAGTTGATGGTTGTATCTTCAGGCTAGACACTTCTCAACAGAGGTCCTTTTCACCCACCCCCACATGTCAGAAACCTTGATATCTGTTCATGCCACTTCTTGCTCTCACTGTTCACCGTTTTCAGTTGTCATAACACATCCCCAGGGCACTGGTTGGATGTGCACAGCTTTAACCTGTTGCTCAGAGTCGAGAAGAAGTCGAGAAAGGGAGAAATAAGGCCCCCGTCAAACCATTTCCAAACAGCACATGTGGCACATTTACCTCCCTCTCTCTCTGTCTCTCTCTCTCTCTCTCGCTCTCAAGGTCATGGGGTTCTCTCTGTCTGTCCTTTATCTTTCAGCCCTGAGGAAAGGATGAGATGAGCTTACTGGTTTTCCTCCACACCTGAGCACCACCGGCACAAACTGGAATCCAGACTCCAGGTGTGGAGAACAATCACGCCACTCTGGCTTTGTCACTACCATAGTTTAATGCACATGCATAGTGCATAGTACCTCCACCAAAGGAAGCTACATCTCAGATCCAGTGTGTGTGTGTGTGTGTGTGTGTGTGTGTCTGCTTGTTGTAAAGTAAGATATTAGTTTTTGGTACAGATCTAGGACTGCAAGCTTTTTGCTATTTCCTCTTGAAATAGTTTTCTACAGTGGTATTGAGTAGAGATCTTTTACTCTTCTAAAAGTAGCAGTACCACAGTGTTAAAATACTCCAGTAATAATTTAAGTCTTGCATTCAAAAGTTACTCAAACAAAAGTACATCTGTATTATCAGCCAAATTTAGCTATCAAAAGTAAATGTACTCATTATGCAAATTGCCCCCATTCAGAGTGTAGTAATTATAGTAGACATGATATATGGTATTGGAATGTTATTATAAATTAATTTAGCAGCATTTTATTGCTGTCAGGGGATAAAAAGCTTAAACAACTTTATTGTTGTCTTTTTGTCAAATAAATGTGGTGGAGTAAAAATGATAAAATGTCCTCCTGAGATGTAGTGGTGTTGAAGTGTATAAGTATAAGTACCTTGTATTGCACTTAAAGGTCCAGTGTGTAGGATTTAAGGGCATTGATCATCAGAAATCGAATATAATATTCATAGCTATATCATATCATAACAGAGTTACACTGTGCCATTTGTGCTCTCATCTGAATGAAAAAAAATACATATAGTGACACGTGTATCCTATAATTATCTAGCTTAATGTGTGTAATGCAGATCTAGATCCAGAAGCAGAGATATTGAGGTATTCACTAAATTTTAATAAATGTAGAGCCTTGATGGAGGCATGAGTGTTAGAATGACATTTATGCAATCAAATAATATTAGGGGAAGTATATGTATAAATACACATATATGTGTGTGTGTGTGTGTGTGTGTGTGTGTGTACGCGTGGGTGTGGGTGTGTATTTGTGTTTGTGTTCGTGTGTGGCCGCCTGACTGGATCGTCAAAGAATGTTATTTCCTGGTGCCAGGCTTTGCTCCTTTGGGGGCTCCAGCTGGAACCAAACAAAATTTAGCGCTGGATCAGTCTGCCTGTCCTTGTTAGACAACATGGCAGCAGAGTTGTTGTTTGGTGGAGAAAGAAAGCCCTCAGTGTACTCCATGACTGCCACCCTCAATAACACTGTTTTGTTCATCAAGAGAAAATGATATGTTATTGAATCACTTTTACACAAGGTACTTAATGATGTTTTCCAGGCAATATAATACATCATAACTCTCCAGTGATTGCCCAAGACAGACAGAGTAAAGAAGCCAATTATGTGGAGCAAAAGCGCCTTGGGTCAACAGTTTTTGGATACCAGTCATTTTTTGAAGGCACACTGATCTTCTGACTCCCCCCGAGGGAGATGATGCACTTGTCTTTGAAGCCGTGATGAGACGCTGAATGAAAGCAAATGAGGGCCTGTCAGAGATGACAGGAGAAACCCATAAGCTCCCGGTGTCTCAGTGGGTTCTGGTGGGAAAGGGGTCCAGAGGCAGGGCCAGAGGGGTGGCCAGAGGTGGCACAGGCCCCATAAAGTGACGTCACAAAGTCAATCAAACGTCCTAAAAGAGATGCAAAACTTCTATAAAGAGATGCAAAACTACTACAAAGTTGCAAAATGGCTGTGAAGACACGCTAAATGACCACAGAAATACACAAAATGACTACAAAGACAAAACTATTACATGGCAATGCAAAACAGGTCCCCAAAACAGCAAAACAACTACAAAGAGATGGAAACCTACTACTAGTAGATGCAAAACAACTACAAGGAGACACTAAAAGATCCCAGAAAGATGCAAAACTACAACAAAGAGTCACAAAACAACTACAAAGGGACACAAAATAGCTATGACGAGATGCAAAACAAATCCATAAAATAAAAAAATGATTAGAAATATGTTACACAGCCACAATACAAACAAAATGACCATTATGAGGCACAAACCAGCCGTAAAAAAGTTGCAAAATAACCCCCTTCCCCCTAAAAGAAAAAACACTACAAAAGACACTTAACTTCTACAAAGAGACGCATAAAATGGTCATGAGGAGATGCAAAACAACCCAAAAAATGCAAAATGACTAAAAATAGTTGTTAAAACGGCCCCAAAGAAAAGCAAAACTACTATGAAGAGATGCAAAATGATGACAAAGACACACAAAACAACTAGAAATAGACACAAAACAAGCACGAAGAGATGCAAAACAACCTCCCAAAAATGCAAATCACTAGAAATAGATGTTAAACTTCCCAGATAGATGCAAAACTACTACAAAAGATGTAAAATGAAGACAAAGAGACACAAAACAGCCATGGAGATGCAAAACAACTACAAGGAGACACATAACAGCTGTAATAGATGCAAAACAAACCCAAAATTGAAAAATACTAAAAATATGTAAAACAGCTACAAAAAAAGCTAAATGACTACAAAAAAGAGATGGAAAATATCTCCTCAGAAAAGGAAAACCACTACAAAGAGATGCAAAACAACTACAAAGAGACATAACAGCCAGGAAGAGATGCATAACAACCGTAAACAAACTGAACAGATGTAAAACAACCACAAAAGCAGCTAAATGACTACGTAGAGACTATAAACAACCACAAAGAGGTGCAAAATGACCAAAAAAGAAGCAAATTGACCATAAAAAGATGCCAAATGACTTCAAAGAGTTGCAAAACAATCACAGAAAGAAGCAAAACAACCAAAAGGGGATGCAAAATGACTTCAAGAGATAAAAAAAGACCCCACACATAAAGAGATGTAAAATGACCAAAAAAGATGCAAATTGACCATAAAAAGATGCCAAATGACTTCAAAGAGTTGCAAAACAATCACAGAAAGAAGCAAAACAACCAAAAGGGGATGCAAAATGACTTCAAGAGATAAAAAAAGACCCCACACATAAAGAGATGTAAAATTACCAAAAAAGAAGCAAATTGACCATAAAAAGATGCCAAATGACTTCAATGAGGTG